TTTCTTTTCTTTTCAGGCAGTGTCTCTCTGTGTTACCTAGGCTGGAGTGCAGTGGTGCGATCTCAGCTCACTGCAACCTTTGCCTCCTGGGTTCAAGGGATTCTCCTGCCTCAGCCTCCAGAGTATCTGGGATTACAGGCGCCCGCCACCACGCCCGGCTAATTTTTGTGCTAATATTTTTTTAAAGGATCAAATGGCACCTAGCATGTACTCAGTAAGTATTTGAATAATTGGTTGGTTCTTTGTCTCTGGGTTGGGGTATTATTATTTGTTTCTTCCTCTCTAAGTGTTTATAAAGAAAAGGTATGAGGCCGGGCACGGTGGCTCACACCTGTAATCCCAGCACTTTTGGAGGCCAAGGCGGGGGGGATCACCTGAGGTCAGAAGTTTGAGACCAGCCTGGCCAACATGGTGAAACCCTGTCTCTACTAAAAAAAAAAAATACAAAACTAGCCAGGCATGGTGGTGCCTGTTCTGTCTCAAAAAAAAAAAAAAAAAAAAAAGGCTGGGCGCGGTGGCTCATGCCTATAATCCCAGCACTTTGGGAGGCCGAGGCAGGCGGATCACGAGGTCAGGAGATCGAGACCATCCTGGCTAACATGGTGAAACCCCGTCTCTACTAAAAATACAAAAAATGAGCCAAGCTTGGTGGCGGGTGCCTGTAATGCCAACTACTCGGGAGGTTGAGGCAGGAGAATGGCGTGAGCCCGGGAGGCAGAGCTTGCGGTGAGCCGAGATCGCGCCACTGCACTGCAGCCTGGGGGACACAGCGAGACTCTCTCAAAAAAAAAAAAAAGTATGAATCTATATGGCTTTTGGTGGCTAAATTTGACATTAAAGTCTGAGTTCACCTTGAACATTGAGACAGCCCCATCTGCCACAATACTGCTAGAGGCATGCGCCTCAGACTCCTTTTCCCTCCAAGTGACTCAGCCATTCCCACGTCTCTGTCTAGGTCCCTGTCCTTCGAATGGTGGAAGGTGATACCATCTATGATTACTGCTGGTATTCTCTGATGTCCTCAGCCCAGCCAGACACCTCCTAGTAAGTAATGTTTGCCTCCCCGCTTGCCGCCCCACCACCTAGTTTCAAGTGGGACCTCTTGGGAGAGTCAAGGGCTGCCAGGGGTCTTCAGAGGAGGAAGGCTCGGCGTGCTTATCAGAGGGGCTGGTCAGTTGGCTTCCTCCCCTTCCTTTTTTTTTTTTTTTTTTAGATTGAGTCTTGCTCTGTCACCCAAACTGGAGGGCAGTGGTGCGGTCTCGGCTCACTGCAACTTCCGCCTCCCAGTTTCAAGTGATTCTCCTGCGTAGCTGGGATTACAGGTGTGCACCACCACACCCAGCTAATTTTATATTTTTAATAGAGATGGGGTTTCACCATGTTGGCCAGGCTGGTCTCGAACTGACCTCAGGTAATCCACCTGCCTTGGCCTCCCAAAGTGCTTGGATAACAGGCGTGAGCCACCACACCCAGCCTGATTTTTGTATTTGTAGTAGATACAGGGTTTCACCATGTTGGCCAGGCTGCTCTCAAACTCCTGACTTCAAGTGATCCACCTGCCTTGGCCTCCCAAAGTGCTGGGATTACAGGTGTGAGCCACCGTGCCCGGCCATTCCTTCCCTTCCTTTGACAGCACCGGGGTTTCAGTGTCCATGTCTCTCTCAGCGTGGCCAGCAGCAGCCGGGAGAACCCGATTCATATCTGGGATGCATTCACTGGAGAGCTCCGGGCTTCCTTTCGCGCCTACAACCACCTGGTAGGGACCGCCACGCTCAGCCCCAGCACTCGTACTGGCCTGGCTCTCCTTCCTTGAAGGCAGCTAAGGCTTTGCAAGATCTGTTTTCAGCCCTTTCCTTCCCCCAGGATGAGCTGACGGCAGCCCATTCACTTTGCTTCTCCCCGGATGGCTCCCAGCTCTTCTGTGGCTTCAACCGTACTGTACGTGTTTTCTCCACGGCCCGGCCCGGCCGAGACTGCGAGGTCCGAGCCACGTTTGGTAAGCATCTGTGCCTCCAAGGGAGGAGGAGAGGGAAGAGCACTGCCACCTGCACAGGGGCCTGTGTGAGCCGAGGGCCACCTGTGGGGTTTCACGCCGTCCTCTGTACGGCCTGGGAGCAGGTGCAGCCCAGTCGGCAGAGGAGCAAACAGACTCAGAGCAGGTAGGAAACCTTCCCAAGGTCAACCAGCTGGTCAAAGGACTGCTTCCTTCCTGAACCCATACCCTGTCAGCTGTGGAGCTTTTGGTCTCTGAAATCTTTCTAGAAAATTTTTGATAAAGCTGATTCCATTTTCCTGTAGGCCTTCAACTTGCATCTGTCCAAGGAAAAACTGAGATTTGAGAGGGATGAAGTGGGGCTTGGGCATTTAGGTCCTTTGGGAAGATAGATGTGGGGAGCATCAGAGGTCTTTGTCCTGCTTGTGACACACAGCCTGGGGTAGATGTTGAGTCCAGGCATGTTGGTGCTGGGATGAGAGACAGACCTCTGCTTGGCCTGGGTGCCAGGAGCCATCGCCCCCTCCCCCACTTTGTTCCTTCCCTCTCTAGCAAAAAAGCAGGGCCAGAGCGGCATCATCTCCTGTATAGCCTTCAGCCCAGCCCAGCCCCTCTATGCCTGTGGCTCCTACGGCCGCTCCCTGGGTCTGTATGCCTGGGGTGATGGTTCCCCTCTTGCCTTGCTGGGAGGGCACCAAGGGGGCATCACCCACCTCTGCTTTCATCCCGATGGCAACCGCTTCTTCTCAGGAGCCCGCAAGGTAAGGGTCACACCCTGAGAGCCCAAAGCACCTGGGCAGCGGGGCAGGAGCGGGGATGTAGTCTGTAGTGTAGGGGAATGGGGATGGGGAAAAAAATCCCAAGCTGAAGGAGTGCCTGGAGACCCCGAGGGAGGCAGGGACATCCAGGGCTTTGGGGGCGACTCCAGGTCCTGTTCCATGTCTCCAGGATGCTGAGCTCCTGTGCTGGGATCTCCGGCAGCCTGGTTACCCACTATGGTCCCTGGGTCGAGAGGTGACCACCAATCAGCGCATCTACTTCGATCTGGACCCGTGAGTGGCCGTGGCTCCTTCCTACACAGGGCCCTGAGAAGCCTAGGAATGCCAGAGCCCAGCTGTAGGGTCCTAGCCCCTGCGTGTGAGTGGTTCCTGCCCCAGGGGTGAGGCCTCTGCCAGCAAATCTCTCCTCTCTCTCCCAGGACCGGGCAGTTTCTAGTGAGTGGCAGCACGAGCGGGGCCGTCTCTGTGTGGGACACGGGCGGGCCTGGCAATGATGGGAAGCCGGAGCCCGTGTTGAGTTTTCTGCCCCAGAAGGACTGCACCAATGGCGTGAGGTCCTCAGTTCCATTCCAGAGATGTTGGGGCTTGGGTTGGGGATGGAAGTGAATCCCAGAGGGAGCAAGTGTCCTCACTGAAGGCACTGATAGACCATCCCCATCTCTCCCTCAGCCTGCACCCTAGCCTGCCTCTCCTGGCCACTGCCTCCGGTCAGCGTGTGTTTCCCGAGCCCACAGAGAGTGGGGATGAAGGAGAGGAGGAGCTGGGCCTTCCCCTGCTCTCCACACGCCATGTCCACCTTGAATGTCGGCTTCAGCTCTGGTGGTGTGGAGGGGGCCCAGACTCCAGCATCCCTGATGATCACCAGGGCGAGAAAGGGCAGGGAGGAACGGAGGGAGGTGTGGATGAGCTTATATAAAAAGATTTTTATGATATTAGAGTCTTCGTGTCTGTTTGTGGGGGGCATATGAGTGAGGTGGGGGTCGGGCAGGGGGACTGGCGGGCTCCCTGGTCCAGCAGCAGTGGGTATGGCATATTGTTCCTGAAACCAGGGGTTGAGAGGTGGGACTAGGCGGGAGCCAATGGGGTGGCTGAGCTTGATGTGAAGTCAAGTGGGTGGGGGTGGGGCTTCATGCCATTGACTGGTTGGTTGCTAGGCAACTTGGTAAACTGAAGGGGGAAACCTGTTTGAAATCTCACTCCCAAGGTGGGGGTGGCAGGGGTCAGGGTGAGCCGGGCTGAGCAGGAGCTGGGTCAGACTGTTGGGTGTGACCGTGTGAGACTGTGCAGACAGTGACAGGGTGCCTGTCACCCACACTCCACACTGCCATTCTCCAGCAGCATGGGGACCATTACTCAGCTCTGAGGGGAGCAGGAGCACTCCCCTCCCCTCCCCGGGGCTCCCCAGGAGGCAGACAACCCAGTTGCCAGAGTCAAGGACACACCTAAAAGAGGAAAGGTGTTGAAAAATACAGTCGTCACCTTTGGTATTGCTGTTCCATGCGGGGCGCGGCGAGGGTCTTATTCATTCAGCAGCTGTCGCTGGGCTTGTTTCTCCATTTGTCTGCTCTGTCTTTGGGGGTGGGGGGACGAGTGTGTCATTTGAAGCAGTGACTCCTCCCTCCTCCCCCCAACACCTTCCCAAACACTGACAATGGGGGGACTTTGAAGAAATACCGCCAGCAGGGGATGTGATTTTGGACCTCACAATCAAAGGGAAGGGACGAAAGGCCTGTGGAGGCTTGAGAGGGAGAGGAATGTCACCCCTGCCCAGAGGTGCTGAAAGCCAGGGCTCTTACACCCGAAAAGGCAACTCCTCCCTTCCCCCAGGATAATTGGAAACAGCCCTTCCTGCGCAGGGCCGGTTTGGGGTTGTAGGTACGCCCCTTCTCCCAGCCCCGCTTCTCCCCGCAGCCATCTAGGAAAGGCCCAAGTGTATCCCTTAAACTCTTATTTTTCACTACCCCCCAGGTAACAACAGCACATGGTCCATGGAGCGGTGACAAAGGAGACCCCAAGAGTGGGAGTGGCGCAGCCTGGGTTTGGTTTCTAGCTTTATCCCAGACTTCCTGTGTGACCTTGGGCAAGTCATGGGGCCTCCCTAAGCCTCAGTTTCCTCATCTCTGCAATGGGATCGTTAGCTCTGCCCCTCCCACTTCACACAGGTAGTCGTGACGATCAGCTCCGCCGCAGTCTGTAAAGTGCCAAGCCTTCAAGGTTATTATTATTCTCTCCAGACCTGCCGGGAGCAGCGGTGTTGTTTTGGGATGGTGGAGAAGGCTGCGGGAGCGAAAGGGGTGGGTTCCTCGGGGTGGAGAGGGCGAGAGCCTTTCTGGATTCGAGAGAGGAAGATTCCAGCAGCTTGGGCGATCGGAGGGCAGGAGGGGAGCCGGGCAGAACTCAGCCGGGGCCAGAGGCTCGGAGACACAAAGGGGGCGTGAGAGTCCGCGCCGGGGGCTGAGGCGGGGCGGCGGGCGGGAGGTGCGCGAGGTGAGGGAGGTGTGGGGGGCGTGGGCCGCGGGATGCTGCCGCCTGCTCCGCCTCGAGCTCCAGCTCCGGTTTTTCCCTCCACCATCCTCTCCCCATCCCCGCCTCTCCTTTAACTCCCCCCTCCTGGGCTCGGGACTGGTTTCCTCCCTTAGCCCGCTGCCCTCAATCCCGGCGAGGCTGGGGCTCCGGCTCGGCGCCCCATTCCTCGCTCCCTGGTCCGGCGCCCCATGCCGCCCCCGCCCGGCCCCCGGCTCCCCCAGTCCCCCACTTAGGCGGGCTCACAGATCCCGGGGTGCTGGCGCGTGGGCCGGGGGCGCGTAGGGCGCCTGCAGACGGCCCCTGGAAGGGCTCTGGTGGGGCTGAGCGCTCTGCTGCGGGGGCGCGGGCACAGCAGGAAGCAGGTCCGCGTGGGCGCTGGGGGCATCAGCTACTGGAGTGGTCCGGGCTGAAGAGCCAGGCAGCCAAGGCAGCCACCCCGGGGGGTGAGCGACTTTGGGGGAGTTGGTGCCCCGCCCCCCAGGCCTTGGCGGGGTCATGGGGCCCCCCCATTTTGGGCCGGGGGGCGTGCGAGTCGGGGCCCTGCTGCTGCTGGGGGTTTTGGGGCTGGTGTCTGGGCTCAGCCTGGAGCCTGTCTACTGGAACTCGGCGAATAAGAGGTGAGCGGCCTGCGGCTGGGGAGACCCCAGATCCTAGGGCAGTGGGTAGGGAAGTTTTGGGGACTTGGGGGCTGGCTTCTGTGGGCAGGGAGGAGGCGGGAGGGAAGGTGCTGGTGCTCTGATGTGTGACGGGTTACTAGACAGGTGATCTTGGGAGCCAGACTCCGGGTCCCACGCAGAGCTGGATGCGGGTGGTGCTATGGATGTCAGGAGTTTGGAGACCCCAAAGGGGCAAGGAGAAGAAAGTTCATGGGTAGCCGGGAGGGCAGTGAGGTGGGTATTTGGATCTGTGGGAGGCCTGCGTCGGGGGCTGGGCTTGGAGGGAGCCTGGTTACTGTCAGCTCTCAGGAGAGAGCTGCAGATTAGGTGCTGCAAGTGGCTGAAGGGAAGGCAGGGCAGGGTGCCTCCCTCCCCCAGAGGGACTGGGCGTCCGAGATGGGAGGCAAGGGGGTTCCATTTGGGGGCTCTGGGGACAACTTCCCCAAGGCTCCTTGACTCACGTCACAGTCTGTCTCCCAACTCTTCCCCACAGCCAGAGGGTCGGTGAACTGTTGGCTGAACGATTTCCCAGCCAGAACATATTCCTGCCTTCCTGGCTTGCGGGTCTCTTTCTGGAAGCAGCCTCCAGCCCCCGAGCCCTCCTTCCTTCCCTTTTGCATCTGGAGTCCTGAGGACTCCATTGCCTCCTCCCCCCATCTTTGCTGCAAACTCTTCTGTCAGACCCTCCGTTCCGTGGTCCATGCCTGCTTTGCTCTGAAAGGAGGCCAGGGGTCAGATGAAACTTCAAGCCACGCTGGGTAGGACAGAACCTTCGGGAGGTCATCTGGGTCCCTTGCCTGCATGCAGATCCCACTTCCCGCTTGTAAAACAGTTGTGTTTTGAAAAATTCCTACTTCCCTGGGGAGACTGTGTGAGGCTATGGGAAGCAGGTGGGCTTTGGAGCTTATCAAATCCTTGTTCTTAATCCTAGCTCTGCCGCTTTCAGCTGTGTGGCCTTGGGCATGTCACTTAACCTTTCTGAGTTTGTATCCTCAATCCTTACAGCTATTATGAGTATTAGCGGTCAGGTGTTTGAATGTATTCTGTGCTCATTAAAGGAGAGCTAGGATTATTGTTCCTCTCTTTACTTCCCAGCCGCCCTCACACTTCTCTGCCCTGCCATCCCTCCCTCTCTTTTTCCCGGATCTCTTTGGGTATAATCTCAATGTCTTTTCTGTACTCAGTCACCTACCCGCCAACTCCCAGCTGCAATGTGAGTATCAGGTGTGTAGCTTGAGAACCTAAGCTTGTTTTCACAGGGTAGAGAAAAGGGAGTTAGGGTGTTCTGGGGGCTCTTTCAGATGTGGGGTGGGAGTGGGACACTTGGGAGTCTGGGAAGATATAAAGTAGCAGCCCCCTGGGACCCAGTCCTGAGACCCTGTCTCACCTATTAATGTCCAGGAAGGGGCTGCAGGGGTTGGCAAGTTGCGGCTCTGCTGGGACAGTGGATGCCTGGGTGCACTAGCCAAGGAGATGGTGAAGTGTGTTGGTTGTGGTTAGAAAAGTCAACTCCTTTCCTTTCCAAAGCAATAGGCACTTGCCCCAGAAGTCTAAGACCCAGTGTGGGATTCTGAGCGGGAGAATGACTCAGGCAGCAGCTCCCTAGACCCTGGTTCCTATAAGCCCCATTGATAGTCATGACCAAACCAGGCATTTGCCTTCTGTCCTATTAGCTGGCTGACTTAGGACACTGGTCTGGACCACCCTCCACACAGGCCCTACCTGACCCGCCCCCTTTGCCCCGAAATCCCCGAAATTCAGTGGTGGCCTGGAGAAGGGGAGGCTCTGCCCCCATGGTTGGCTGCCATGGAATAGTGAAATCACCTGGGAGGGGTGGGCTGTGTGGTTCCAGAGAGGCCAGCTCCTTGGTAACTGGCATCCTGTTGCCATGGCAACGGGGCTGGTGATGGAGCGGGAGATGGCAGTGTGCATGTGGTGAGGGCGGGCTGAAGAGTGCATTTGGGCACACCAAGGGGCAGGAGACCTCTGAGCCTGGCTTCCTGCTGCTTCCAATGTGAACGCACAGAGTCCTTGGTGCCTGCTCTATAAGAACTGACTTTCCACTCAGACAAAGGCGGGCAGGCGTGAGCTGAGAATTGCTGTCCTGGAAGGCTGTGGGGTGAGGGAAGGAAAGCTCTGGGGGCCAGGCCTCTGACATCTCTTCCTTGTCCACCTTACCCTCCTCCCCATAGGTTCCAGGCAGAGGGTGGTTATGTGTTGTACCCTCAGATCGGGGACCGGCTAGACCTGCTCTGCCCCCGGGCCCGGCCTCCTGGCCCTCACTCCTCTCCTAATTATGAGTTCTACAAGCTGTACCTGGTAGGGGGTGCCCAGGGCCGGCGCTGTGAGGCACCCCCTGCCCCAAATCTCCTTCTTACTTGTGATCGCCCAGACCTGGATCTCCGCTTCACCATCAAGTTCCAGGAGTATAGCCCTAACCTCTGGGGCCACGAGTTCCGCTCGCACCACGATTACTACATCATTGGTACTGCTGGGCAGAGGGCACGATTGCGTGGGGGGCTGCTCCTGATACTGAGCAGAGAGGGAGGGGGACCCCTGCAGCCAAGAGGGAGATCCCAGTGCCCTCAGGCGGTGTTCACACCAGGGCGTGGGGCCAGAATTGGGGCTAGACTCTGGAGTGCCAACCTCTTCCTCTGACTTTTCTCTCCCAGCCACATCGGATGGGACCCGGGAGGGCCTGGAGAGCCTGCAGGGAGGTGTCTGCCTAACCAGAGGCATGAAGGTGCTTCTTCGAGTGGGACAAAGTGAGTGGGGCTGGGGGACACCTCCTGGGCGTGAAGGGATGTTGGGGCGGTACGATCATGGTCAGGGGCAGTTGTCTCAGCTCCTCTCTTGGGCCTTCCTCATCTCCAGGTCCCCGAGGAGGGGCTGCCCCCCGAAAACCTGTGTCTGAAATGCCCATGGAAAGAGACCGAGGGGCAGCCCACAGCCTGGAGCCTGGGAAGGAGAACATGCCAGGTAGGAACCAGGGGCTAGCTCCCTGCCTTCCCCAGCTTCCTCTGCTCTCAGACCCCAGCTGCCCTGCCGTCACCCTCCCTCCCTCTTCAGTTTTGGGGGCGGTGATACAGGAAAGAGGAGAAGAGAGGATGGGAGGGTGGGAGGGGAATGGAAGCCAAATGAGGAAAAGACTCAATTAGAACTAATTAGCCAAGTCAGTGCTTCAATCAGTGCTGTCAGAGAAGTGGGGAGGACTCTGTGGCAGGAAGTTGAAGGGCTGGACACCTGGATTCTGAGTGGGGTTTGGCGGGGGAGGGGAGGTGGGGTCCCCAAGGGGCCTGGGCCCTATAAGGGAAGCCCATGGGGACCCCCAGGGTTGGGTGTCCAGATGCCCAGGTGGCTCCTTCAGTCCCTCCCCCTCTTTCCTCCACCCCTTCCCTGCCAGGTGACCCCACCAGCAATGCAACCTCCCGGGGTGCTGAAGGCCCTCTGCCCCCTCCCAGCATGCCCGCAGTGGCTGGGGCAGCAGGGGGGCTGGCGCTGCTCTTGCTGGGTGTGGCAGGTGCTGGGGGTGCCATGTGTTGGCGGAGACGGCGGGCCAAGCCTTCGGAGAGTCGCCACCCTGGTCCTGGCTCCTTCGGGAGGGGAGGGTCTCTGGGCCTGGGGGGTGGAGGTGGGATGGGACCTCGGGAGGCTGAGCCTGGGGAGCTAGGGATAGCTCTGCGGGGCGGTGGGGCTGCAGATCCCCCCTTCTGTCCCCACTATGAGAAGGTGAGTGGTGACTATGGGCATCCTGTGTATATCGTGCAGGATGGGCCCCCCCAGAGCCCTCCAAACATCTACTACAAGGTATGAGGGCTCCTGTCACGTGACTCTCCTGAATCCGGCCCTTCTTGGGGTGCTCCTCCAGTTTAATTCCTGGTTTGAGGGACACCTCTAACATCTCCTCGGCCCCCTGTGCTCCCCCAGCCCCTTCACTCCTCCCGGCTGCTGTTCTCGTCTCCACTTTTAGGATTCCTTAGGATTCCCACTGCCCCACCTCCTGCCCTCCCGTTTGGCCGTGGGTGTCCCCCTCTGTCTCAGTGTCCCTGGATCCTATTTCCTTAGGGAGGGGCACCGGCTCAGCCTCCTCTCTGACCATGACCCAGGCATCCTTGTCCCCTTCACCCACCCAGAGCTAGGGGCGGAAACAGCCTACCTTTTGGTTGGCACCGCCTTCTTTCTGCCTCTCACTGGTTTTCTCTTCTCTCTATCTCTTATTCTTTCCCTCCCTTCTCTAGGTCTGTTCTTCTTCCCTAGCATCCTCCCCTACCACATCTCCTTTCACCCTCTTGGCTTCTTATCCTGTGCCTCTCCCATCTCCCGGGTGGGGACATCAAAGCATTTCTCCCCTTAGCTTTCAGCTCCCCTTCTGACCTCTCAAACCAACCACTCCCCTCAGTCTGCCAAAAATGGGGGCCTTATGGGGAAGGCTCTGGCACTCCACCCCAGCTCAGGCCATGGGCAGCAGGGCTTCCTTCTCTGTCCTGGCCCAGGCCTCTACATACTTACTCCAGCCATTTGGGGCGGTTGGGTCATGACAGCTACCATGAGAAGAAGTGTCCCGTTTTGTCTAGTGGCCAATAGCAAGATATGAACCGGTCAGGACATATACGGACTTGGTCTGATGCTGAATGGGCCACTTGGGACCGGAAGTGACTTGCTCCAGACAAGAGGTGACCAGGCCCGGACAGAAATGGCCTGAGAAGTAGCAGAAGCAGTGCAGCAGGAACTGGAAGTGCCTTCATCCAGGACAGGAAGTAGCACTTCTGAAACAGGAAGTGGTCTGGCTGGAACTCCAAGTGGCTTAGTCTGGGGGATCGGGGGGTGGGAGGTGGATGGTTCTTACTCTGTGGAGAAGAAGGGCGGGAAGAACTTCCTTTCGGGAGGAAGCTGGAACTTACTGACTGTAAGAGGATAGAGGTGGACCGAGAAGGACTTTTCCCAGTCTTCAGTGGCACTTCCCAAGATCTCCCTTTCCTTGTGCTCTGTGCTGATTTTAGGACAGCTAAGATGACTGCCATGTGCTGTGGCAGGCCCAGTTTGTCTTGTTCTTTCCTTTCCATATCCCAGTATAATCTCTGTTCATCAACAGTACTACCCCAAGAATCCATGTGTTCTCCCGAGTAACCCAGATGGCTGTCTTGTTCATTCCATCCTCCATTTCCGACTCCTTTCAGACTCAACATAGTTCCCTTCTTAGTGACCAAAATGGTGGCCTACTGGCTGGTCTAGCTGATGGTGGTGGCATTTAGCAAAGGCCACTGTTTCCATAGTGACCAGCTGATACCAATTCCTGCCCTCTAGTGTGCAATTGGGTGTTGCCTCAGTTTCCTCCCAGCTCAGTTTTATTAGATCAAAGCTGCTGTTGGGTACCAGGTTGGCCACCTCAATCACCAGCCAAGATGGTTGCTTTGTCCACCAGAGGTCAATCACCTTTCTGGTGCTGTAGTTCCCAGCTCCTTCCTGATTTTTCTAATCGCTCCTTCTGGGAAACAGGAAGTTGATATTGCCATGGTGGCGGGGTATGCCGTCACCTCAATAGTTTTACTGTAAAAGGGAAATTTGAACAACAAAAACCAAAAAAATAAAAATAAAAAACTTCAAAAGTTAACAAGAAGGCTGGAGAATGACTAGACTTGATTTGGGACAAAGGCTTGGTTAGAATGGCTTTCTAGCTAAGGGTTGGATTGCATGAAACCAACCAAGGTGGGTGGGTAGAGATAGGGCTAATTTGGAGTGGTGAGGTTGGCAGTGCTTGGGGAGGCGAAAATGGGCTGGGTGAGAAGGCGGAGGAAGGTGTCACCTCTAGGAGAGGGAGAAAGTAACGCAGGCAGGAGTGGGGTTGCCAGTTCGTCCATGGGGACAGTGTAAGTGTCTTGCTAAGCCAAAGCACCAGAGACAGGGCAAGTTGCAATTAGGATCAAAGTGGTAAAAACAGTTGCTCACATGTTGAAGTCTATTCCCTTCCATCCCTACCCAAGGCACTTGAGAAGTTTTGCTGTTGGGGACTCATGAGGAGAAGGGATGTGGCTGATCAGAAGGAAGTAGGAAGGACTCAGGGACCCAGGCATCAAGCTGCGTATCCCCTGGCTCCCTGTATACTCATAACCAAGGCTCTTCTCCCCGAAAAAGTCCAGGTGTCCAGCCCCCTAGACTTAGCCCCATTCTCCAACCACAAAAGCAGCCGTCAGGAGCATCACTGGAGCGAGTCAGCAGGGGTCACAACCTCTGCCCTCCCTGCCCCTCCCCTGACTTTAGGTCCCCTCCCGCTGTCTCCCATCTGCCTGGAGGTCAAGGGGTCCCCCTTCCTCTCTTCTGTCCTGTGGGACCCCCACTCCTCCCCCTCCCTGTCTGAGCAAGATGCCTGGGTCTTGAGAGGTGCAGGCACCGCAGGAGGGGAGTTGAAAGCTGGGAGACCAGGTGCTGGGCTGTCTGGAATTTACTCCTGCCTTCTGAGCCCACACTGGAGCTGCGCGAGGTGGGGAGGCTCGTGGGGGGTGGAAAGGCTGGTCCTTGCCCCTTAGTGGGGGTTGGTTGTCATGGCAACATCCCCTTTTCTACACAATGGGAAGCCCCCCTCAGCCTCCCGCGTGGATGGAGCCGACAGCCCCATCGCTGGCTATCAGCCTCAGGGACTTGGCAACCGTCACTATGGCAACCCAGAGCCCAGCAACAGGGCCCACTGAGAAAGGGAGGGGTCCAAGACTGGGGCAGGGCGGTGTGTGAGGGGCAAGGGAGCTCAGGGACACTCCCCCTCCACCTACATCTAGAGGCACAGGTGGAGAGACAAGAGGGAAGAGACGTGGGGATAAATAGTCTCCGTGACAGACAAGCACCTCACCAAAGCAGCTAAGACATCATAACATACTGAGAGACAGGAAGACACCTGGGGACAGATGCACAGCTGGGGAGAGGAACAGCACAGACTGCACAGCGCCTGGGACACGCCCCCCTCAGAGCGCTGGCATCCAGAGACTCCCCGCAGCCCCGCTCGAACAGCACAAGACCAACAGCTTTTCACATGTGTAGTGACTTGGGTGTCTTTAGAGCTATTTGAAAATGCTGGTGACTTCCACGTAGAATAACACATGCCATCCTATTTGCTTTGTGGGGACAAATACACATATTCTTAGAGTAACAACTACACCAAAACAACTACAGGCACAGGAAGACATTTGTTCATTGGTTTGTTCCTTCACTGGCTCAGCAGCAGGTTAAATGCTACTTTGTTTCAGGCACCGGTTCAGGCGCTGGGAGGACAGGGTGAGTAAGGCCAAGTCCCCGCTTTCACAAAGCCCACATTTAGGTGGGGAAGGAAATAATACAATTACAGGTGTGAAAAGGGATATAAACAAAACAGAATGACAGGATGAGGAGGATGGAGAGTAACATCCTTCCTTCCTTCCTTCTTTCCTTCCTTCCTTCCTTCTTCATTTCTTTCTCTTTCTTTCTTTCTTTGTAGTTTCTTTCCCTCCCTTCCTCCTTCTCTCCCTCCCTCCCTCCCTCCCTCCCTCCCTCCCTTCCTTCCTCCCTCCCTTTCTTGGAATCTCGCTGTGTTGCCCAGGCTGGAGTGCAGTGGTGCGATCTCGGCTCACTGCAACTTCCACCTCCCGCGCTCAAGCGATTCTCCTGCCTCAGCCTTCTGAGTAGTTGGGATTACAAGTGCCCACCACCACGCCCAGCTATTTTTTTTTTTTTTTTTTTTTAGTAGGGTTGGATTTTCACCATGTTGGCCAGGCTGGTCTCGAACTCCTGACCTTAGGTGATCCGCCCGCCTTGGCCTCCCAAAGTGCTGGGATGACAGGTATGAGCCACCGAGCCTGGCCTGGAGCTGCTTTAAATGAGGAGGTCAGGAAGGTCCCTCTGAAAGAAGTGCTGTTGATCAGGACCTTAAGCCATGAAACAGGAGTAAGCCATGCACGCTGGGTAAAGGCATGCTAGACAGAGGAACAGCGAGTGCACGGGCACAGAGGTGAGATGGTGGTATGTTTGGGAACAGTAAGAAGGACATCACCACCACATGCATGTTTCAGATGTGTCTTGTTTTTCCCTAGCCTCGGCCTGGAGGGGAGTAAGTCACTTAGGGTCTGGGATCCACGTTAAGGAAGTTGATCTTACTCAGTCTCCCATCTACCCTGCTTTTTGTTTCTTGTGTGTCTGTGACTTGTGTTTTCCTCAACTAATGTTTAAGCTCTGGGAGGGCAAGGATGATGCTCTGAGCTTTTTTGGGGACTGTGGCACAGCTGCTCGCGGAGTCCAGAGCAGTCAGGCAGAGCAGAAGTAAAGGAACCGAGAGGGCTGGGACCACAGAAGCGAGAGCTGTCCCCCGGCCATCCCCAAACCGCATAGGATTGAGGCTGTCCTGGGGCTGAGCCATACAGTGAAGCTCAGACTTTGCCCTTCTTCCAAATAAAGGCAGCTGAGGGATACTATTCAGCCCGAGGTGTGTGTGTGTGTGTGTGTGTGTGTGTGTGTGTGTGTGTATGTGTTTGTGTTGGGGGTTTTTAGGGAAAGGAGAATGGGGCAAGGGGTGGCAATGAGAATTTTTTGTTCGTTTGTTTGAGACAGAGTCTCGCTCTGTGGCCCAGGCTGGAGTGCAGTGTCGTGATCTAGCAATTCTCGTGCCTCAGTTTCCTGAGTAGCTGGGACTACAGGCATGTGCTATCACACCCAGCTAATTATTTGTATTTTTACTAGAGATGGGGTTTCACCACATTGGCCAGGCTGGTCTTGAACTCATGACCTCAGGTGATCCACCCACCTCAGCCTCCCAAAGTGCTGGAATTACAGGTGTGAGCCACCGTGCCTGGGCTTGCAGTGGGAATTTCTTTTTTTTTTTTTGAGACGGAATCTCGCTCTGTCGCCCAGGCTGGAGTGCAGTGGCCGGATCTCGGATCACTGCAAGCTCCGCCTCCCGGGTTCACGCCATTCTCCTGCCTCAGCCTCCCAAGTAGCTGGGACTACAGGCGTCCGCCACGTCGCCCGGCTAGTTGTTTTTTTTTTTTTTGTATTTTTTAGTAGAGACGGGGTTTCACCATATTAGCCAGGATGGTCCCGATCTCCTGACCTCGTGATTCGCCCGTCTCGGCCTCCCAAAGTGCTGGAATTACAGGCTTGAGCCACCGCGCCCGGACTGCAGTGGGAATTTCTAATGGTGAACGGTTAACATCACATCTGGAATTTTAATTAGAATGAAAAATGGCGCTTCCTAAGGGGCTATGTGGGCCACCGTGGACATGGGGCTTGGGAGAGTTTTGAGACCTGGGAGAAATGTCACAGGATGGTTTGGAGGCAGGAGGCTGGCTGGCATAGGCTCAGAGAGTTGGGTGAGGGAATGAAAAGGACACAACGAATGGGAAAGACAACTGGGCAGCCAGAGAGCTACTTGAAAGGTAGCAGGGAAAGTGGAGTTCTGAAGGGAGTTCTGAGGGGACCAGGCCCCAGGTACCCCCAATTCCCACAGGGATTCGAAGCGTTCTGTTTCCTGGTTCTCCCTCTTCCTCCAGTTGCCATCAGAAACTCAGGCACTGCAACCCCAGGGGCTGGTGGGGTGATGTCGGGGGGAGACTGAGCAGCCTCAGGGGGTGGCAGCTGGTGAGTGGGGAGGAATCTGTGTGCTCAGCAAACAGCAGCCTCAGTGCCCGGTGGCTGCCTCCTCCCTCATCAATCAGCCCCAGCCAAATGTCCTTGCATTCCCACCACCCCAAGGGGACTGGGGCTGGGCCAGGGTCCCCAGGGGAGATGGTGTTGGGTGGAGGAGGTGGAGGGGGTACTTGGCTTCCCTTTCCTTGGCCTCTGTTCTCTTCTGTCCTGGAAGAGACAGTTCTTCATGTCGTGGAATGACTATCCTGGCCCCTACCATGGTGGGAGCATCAGCTACAAATCACCTGTGGGGGGCTGCTGGGGGAGAAGGATGAGTCAGGCTGTAGAGGAATCTACTCTGGTTCTCACGGGACCAGCCCAGGGCACAGTCGGCAGGGAGGCTGCTGGCATAGAGGCCCTGTCCCCCCTGGCCTCTGTCTCTGATGGATGATCCGGACAGCAGGCTGAGATCCTGACCCCTGGAATGTCGTCTCTTTCCACCTTCACCTAGTCCCTGCTCCTCATCCCCTGCTTCCAGTCAAGATCCAGAGGTCTGGCCCCCAGCTCACCCCAAATATGCTGCTCCTCACTAGGGACTGGGGTCTCTAGACCCTACCCTCTGGCTCCCTTTCCCCCTCCTCAGCTCTTGCTCCCCTCGGGGACCCAGGCGTTCTGCCCACTCCCTTCACCATAACAACCATTCTTTTGGAGTTGCTTAAGACTTTAATATCATTTCATTAAGTCAGCAAGTTCAGAGAAGGTTGGGGGCACAAAGAGACTGGGGGTGAGCAAAAGAGGGCCAAAGTAGGGGGGAGGCAAGGAAAGACCCCCCCACCCCCTCTCCGTGGAGATGGCTCTGAGAAATCAAATATTGACAATGAGAGAACAGAACTTATTAAATCTGGGACAGGGATGTGTGTGGGGAGCTGTGGGAATGGCCGGATGCCTGGGTTCGGAGGGTAATGAAGGTTCTGGGAGGAGGAAAAGGCCCATGGCTGGGAGGTGCTGCACGGCTGAGTCTTGAGGTTA